TTAATCAAATTATAAACCTGTATTTATAAAACTGGAGCTACTCAAGTAACTCCCTGATAATCACATTTAAAGGGGTCACTGCTGGGCCGCTGACTGGACCTCAGCAGAGGGCCATGAGCTGCCCATCCTCAGACGGGGGGAATCATGGGGCCACCGGTGTCCAGGCTACAGTCACTGGGTCAGGTTCGGTCGCTCTGTCCCCCACTGGACCAGCCCCGGAGCTGACAACTCGGTTCCAATGTCCGGTGTGTTTCGGCTACGTGCTGCACTGTAGTCAACCAAAATCCCAGATAATTTTGAAATTCCCCCAGGACATTTTTTTAAGCATGAATAGTGCATAGAAGCATAGAATAGAAAAACATGGCTCGGAAAAGGAGGACGTCTGGTCACCCTACCATATCAACAATTTTGATGTTTCAGTGAGTGAGTGTTTGTTGCTATGATGGGTCTTTGCTCAGCAGCTTCGCTCGTTGTAAACCAACCAAGCAGCGCACAGCTCATATAAATATCGATGAGCATACCATTAAAGGAAGAAAACCTGTCTTTTAATTCTAGGGCTTTTAACCAGGCCTGCATTAGGGCTCTTATAACAGCAAATATGCCATTTTTAGCCCAACCAATGTTCTTTAGTTCCAGGATGTTCCTCTGAATCATTTTGGTGAACTCACACATATGAGAGAAACGTTTTGGTTAATAAGAGCTTGTTTAATTTTTCAATTCGTTTCTTACAATGCAAGTCAGATTTAATGTTTTCAAAATCATTTTTATTTTACTACCTAAGAAATAAAATATTTTCATGTACTTTTGCAGTGCACTCACTGACCACTAGGGTTTATTTTTTTCTTTGTTTCAGTTTTTCTTTAAATTTGGTTTCAGATGTATAAATCCTTCTGCACATATTTAAATGTTTCATTAACAAAGGAAGATGTCACAGCTTCCTTCAATAAAGTACACATTAAACCCAAAATGACAAAAAATCTAATAAAATCCATAAAAGACTAGAATGTAAGGGGGGAGTGGGCTGCAGTATTTTATTTTTTATTTTTATTTTGTAGCAACTTAAGAAAGATGAGATAAAAGGAGAGCTAGTTAACCCTTTTCCTACATAGATTTCTGTTTGTCAATCCAGATGGACAAAAAAAGGTGGGGCAAGGTTTTATTTTCTGAATTCCAAAGAACAAATACAGCTTTGTGATATACAGCATACTTGATAAGAGAGGACAAAGATGACAGTGGAGACAGGAGACTGAAAGTGTGTGGGCAATAATATTGCTGAAGAAATTGTTTTATTATTTAAAGAGAACTAGTAATAGTAAAAGCAGATACGGGACTCTGGGACATTGCACTTTGACGTTGCTATGAAAAAATGAAAACGAAAGATAACACAAACATTTGATAACGTTTATCTCTCTTTATCTCTGCTTAAATATTCTTCCGGGATGAAGAGATTTATCCTGTCCTTTGAGCAATTTCAAAATTTAACCCTGCACCTAAAGAGACATGAGAGGAATTATCCTCTCAAACAGAGTCAGATGAACATCCTACTACCGTTTTTCATGGGGTATCAAGACTTTTCTAAAAAGGTTATTAAGTAGTAAGAACCAATCAACCTGTAACTTAGTAAGCCTAGGGGTAGGAATTTATCACTGGCCAGACATGACTATTTTGTGCAACTGACCTGTTGGGACATTAATTGGCCAGAGCTATTCTATCTATACACCACGACATATTCCAGTGGCAGGAGGTTATAGTTGCTGTTTATTATTCAAAATAATTCTAATTTATTTAAAGTGAGAGATATTTTCTTTGGGGCTATGTGCAAAGCTAATGTTCCATGTCCGAAAACAACTAGAGATGGTAAACCCAAGCAAAGTATTTGTGCTTCAAGTGTTTAAGGAAATGAAATGTTTTGTCTCAAACCTTGTGTGGTGGAAGAAAAATTATCAATGGTTTAAAAATGGATTATGCCAGGATGAAGAGGGGCTTTATGTAAGATAGGGAGTGAAGAAGTTTGCCAGAAACCGTGCTCCCAACTAAAAAAAATAATAATTCTGGCGAGGTGATTCATAGCTTAGAATTATTGCTCTTTAAACTCTAAAAAGCTAGCAGTGATGGACAAAGATACTCATACTCATACCTTACTCAAATAGAAGTAAAAGTTACTTGGTCAAATATCTACTCAAGATAAAGTATTGAAATACTTACCTTTGAAAATATTTCAAAGGTAAGTAAGTATTCAAGTCTTCAAGTATTCAGATAGGAATTCAAAAGTACATGCATTTATAAGTACTTCAGTATCCAAAAATATAAATAAAATGGTCAAATACCAGGACATTCTGTATAATTTTCAGAAACCACCTGATGTATTGATGCGTAGAACAACTGCTAAAAATGATGTGCCATCTGTCAAGAACTTCAGCATAGAAATGCCACAAAAAATAAGACAGATATTTTTTATATTATTTGTTTTTTTAATAAACAAATAAAAAGAAAACTGGAGTGTCTTGATTCTCTCTGCACTTTCACTATGGAAGAGAGGTTAAAGCCTGATTCTATTATTACGACAAAGAAACGGTAACTTAAAAAAATAGAAATCTAAATAAGTCATTTTAGCTTAAAATAAGTGAATTTTTTCTTGAACTGCGGAGATAAGTGAGACACTTTGCCAATGGAACAAGATCATTTACATTTAAAATAAGAATAAAGACTTTCTTTGTCTTATTTCAAGAGCATATTATAAAAGCATTTTATTTTAGGAGAAAAAAAAACTAATTCCATTGGCAAATCATCTATTTACATGCTCAAATTAAGTGCACTTAATTTTTTTTACACGTAATTTTTTTTTACTTATCTCTAGATTGTTTTTGCAGTGTACTGAACAACTTGGCCACATGCCAACAACTGATGCCTTAATAATATTTAATAACTACAAATAATATATGTCCTGAGTTTCTCACATAAGTGGAATTGTATGCAAATCTCGAAAAAGTGGTGTCCAAATACCATCCTAAAGGCTTCTCTCTTACATGTTTATATTGCATTTCAAGAAAGAAAAACAGCAACAGCAAATTAGGAAGCTAAGCTGAGCCAAAAGGAAAAAGTAACTAACAGCTTCCTCGAAACAGAGTGGAGTAGAAAGTTTGATGTTTGATTTTGAAATGCAGTGGAATTAAAGTTATTAGTACCCCACAAAAAATATTCAAGTAAATTCGATCCCCAAAAATAGTACTTAAGTACAATAATCAAGTAAAAGGAGTTTGTTACTTCCCACCATTGGAAGCAAGAAGTAGTGACATTGAGTAATAGATGCACAGCCGGGCAAGACAGACATATTTGTAGAATTGAAACTGGATATTTTGATGAATGAAAATGTTTAGTTTTCTTTATTTTTCACATGACCTATTGTTATGTATTAATTTGGTGTGTAAAACACCATATTTATTACAATACAGAATTGATACGATTTTGATTCTATTTAATATACCAGTCAGTGACTAAAGGTCTACAAGTCTTCTGTCTCCATAAAACTCCAGTCAGCTTCAGCAGAAGGCTGTTCACTCTGAGCCTGGTTCTGCTGGAGATTTCTCCCTGTTAGAAGGGAGTTTTTCTCTCCATTTTCACCTCATGCCTGCTCCTTTGAAGGCTTGCTGTAAAGTAAATGGCACAATGCCAAAGAATATCTACTGTTGCCACACTACTCCTGGACGAATGAGTTTGCTCTGCAAAGTCGATGACTCAGTGGCTTTCCTTTGAGAACTTATGTGACTGTATTATCTGACTGAATTGTCTTTGTAAAGTACCTTGAGATAACATGCCAATTGTTGCTATATGAATTATCTGAAACCAGCAAAAACCGCATCAACGCTCAGTGTGAGCCGCCTTCTGCCATGACCAACTGGAGGTTCAAGGAGAGAGATGCAGACATGAGAGACAAACCATATTTAAGTTCAGGCCTGTTTACCTTTTCCTCAAGACTTTCCCCTTCATTTCCTGCCTTTTCACTTTCTGAAAGTATACAAAATAAGGACTACTCGCATCCAGACAGGCTGACAGTCTCATGAATTTAAATGGGAAAATGTTTCCAGATTGAAGGGACCTAACTAAAATATACCTTTTCTACTCTTAGAAATTATAGCAAGCACTACTTGAGAGTGAAGTGCTTTGTGAGAAACATGAGGAATAAGCAGTTCTCCAATATAAGACTAAGCTTGGTTATTTGGGACTTTGTGTGTGAAAAGTAATAATTAAAATTCTAATCTGGATTTTATAGGAAGCCAATGAGGAGAAGCTATTACAGAAGACATATCAGCTCTTTTAATATTCATCAGAACTCTAACTGTAGCATTAAGGGTCAGTTGGAGGCTTTTAACTACAGCCTGTGGACTTCCTGATAGTAAAGAATTACTACAGTCCAACCTTGAAGTAAGAAAGACCAATTCTTCTTTGTTAGCCCTGGATATTTCTAATTTTCAGAACTACCCAATATTTCGAAGATGAAAGAACACAATTCTAGAAACCTGTTTAATATGGGATATACATGGCAGGTCCTAATAATAGAAAAGATTTTGTAGGTTATTATCAAAGGCCATTGTAATGGCATCCAGATGAAGAGAAATACTAAGCAGCTTCTTCATCAAAGGCTCTGCTCCAAATTCAATAGCTTCTGTCTGCATTAAAGTGTGGAAAATGTAAAGTTATTCAAGTAATTGAGACATTTTACTATTCTATTTAAGATGGATATAATATGACAGGCTTTCACAATGTGGGGCCTTTTGATGTGGCTGCTTCTTCTCTCATATAGGTAATGCACAAGAAAAGTAGAAAATTACCTTTACAGACAAACTACAAATAAAATCTGTTTGTTACACAATTCAAGTTTATATCCTTAAATTATAATTTTTTTTTCTCACAAATTCCTTTTTCAATGTAAATAAAATACCATTATATTGATTTCACAAACCTTTATTTGGTTAAATAGCAAAAACATTATCTTAGGACATTATCTCCACAGCAGCCTCCTAATTATTACAGTAAAGATGAGTGAGATGCAAGTATGCAACTACAGACAGGTACAGTTATGACCAAAATTAGCCATAGCCCAGACAGTAAACATCCCATTTAACAAAATTTCATCTGAAAGTTCAAATAACATCTTGGAACCAGTTTGCAACATGTGAAGGGAGCTTAGGTTAAGGGTGATAGCAAGGAGGCATTCTAATGTCCATGACTAGGAGCTAATCACCAAAGGTAAATCAACATACCAGATGACATATGTTAACAACTGGTAAGCAGGTATCAGCAGGTTTAAAAGTTCAAAGAAAACATGGTTTATGTTACTAGGAAGGGTAAGAAATGGGTTGAACAGATATTTTAAACATTAGTATTATATTCTAAATATTCTCTGTTTAAATTGTATTTTTGGAAAAAAAAATGTCATGCCCGAACAGAAAGAAACTTAGAAAATGTTTTTCGTTTAAAAATGCCAGTGGCATAAATATATTTGGTCCAAACTGTAGCTGCCCTGCTACTCTAGACAGATCAAATAATCATCCCTGGATGTCTGAGACAGAACGTTGCCATCATTGCTCATGTCTGATGTTGTCGATCTGGGTGGCATCTTAGCTGCTGCAGCAAACATTGAAGAGGTAACTCAAGCTGCTTCTGGGACTGCTGATGGGGTAGCTGATGGGGGTGCTCTTTCACTTGGAGAAACCACTATAACTCGCTGTTGAGAATCAATTACGGAGTTTGAAAAATAGGTTAAAAGAAAACTATGTAAAACTTACTGCAACTTTTTAGAATGACTTACTTTTTGAAATGTTGATAGACTGAATGGCGCTAGTCAGTCTGTGCTCCTCTCCTTCCAGCAGCTTCCTGTAGGTGGCGATCTCAATGTCCAAAGCGACTTTGACATTCATCAGATCCTGGTACTCTCTGATGTGACGGGCCATGTCATGCTTGGCTCTCTGCAGTGCCACTTCCAGTTCCTTAATGCGCTCCTTGGCATCTTTCACAGCCAGCTCACCACGCTCCTCAGCCTCAGTAATCTGTTCCTCCAGGTTTTTGCACTAAAAAAAGAATTAATCACATAACACTGTCAGCACAACTGGGTTAGGTATAGACTTGGTATAAACACATATATTAGAAAACGGCTTTCCATACCTGCCCCTTGATTGCATCAATCTCGGATGTCAGTCTGTGGATCATGCGGTTAAGTTCTGCAATCTCTGTTTTGGTAGCTCGTAAATCATCTCCATATCTGTTGGCGGAGGTCTGCATCTCTTCATACTAAATCAGCAACAAAAAAAGGAAGATCCTACGAACCAATGCAGCTGTAGCGGAATGTGCTAAGCATTAGATACTCTTTGAGGTACTGATTACCTTGGTTTTGTACCATTGCTCTGCTTCAGCACGTGTGCGGTTGGCAATATCCTCATACTGTGCCCTGGCCTCAGCCACAACCGCATCCAAGTCTAGATTGCGACTGTTGTCCATCTCCACAACGACTGCAGTGTCCTTGATCTGGCTCTGGAGCTCACGCAGTTCCTGAAGTAGATTAAACAATATGCAATACTTGTTTGCACTCTTCTTTATTCTTATATGTGGCAGCTAGTATTTGTTTTTTCAGCATTCTTCTTACTACCATATCTAAGCTCCTCTACTGTATAATCAAAATGAAACTTTGACATATGTAGACACCTTTTAGCTGAATGAATATATATAGAACCTTTATTTTGTTGTCCCCCCATATGTTTCATATTTAGTTATCCCTTCATATTTGTTTGTTTTTGTCAATTTAAAGCTGAGACTATCAGAGATTCTGGCCCATACCAGTCTTGTAACAGGGAGTGCCGCAAAGTCGGCGGAGAGTCCAGAGAGCTAAAGATCATACACGCAAGACTGAGGTGCAGCTTTATATAATCTCGATTTCAAGTTAATCTTTAGCAAGTTAGCAGCGCACCCACTATCAGACACAATCAAATAATTTGCAATCAAATGTGTCATTAAAAATGCCAGCGTTCATTGCTATTTTATATTCCTCAAAGATGAGGACTATTATTGTGTATTAACCTACACAATTCATTACCCCCACTTTTTATGATGCTACATAAGGCAAGGCAAGGCAAGTACTTTATATCACTTAAACAATCAAATAGAATGAAAATAAAAGCAGAATTAAAGCAAGTTAAGATAAAAACCTGACAAAAGCAACTAGTAAAGAAAATAAAAACACTTGGACAACAAACTTAAATGAATAATACCTCAGTTTAGGGGTCAGCAGTCAAAGACTGTTCAAATCTAATTAGTTTTTAACTTTGACTTTACAGTCTTCTCAGATTTTGTTCCAAATAATTTGAGCAAAGGAACCAAATTCTGCTTCTCCATGTTCAGTTATAGTTTTGGGTGTACAGAGTAGGCCTGAACCAGATCAACTGTGCTGACATACTCGAATCTCCAATTTCAAATTAAAAATATGGTTGAAAAACCTCAAGCAGAATGCTTTATGACTGAAAGGGGATGGGCTGTGAAGTACCAATTGCATTTAAAGAGACCCCACCTAAACGAGTTGCTGTCAGACCCCCCCTTTAGTAATACATGCACTTGAGGGGTTGCAAATATGAAGTATTCAGATTACAGTTCCGCTTTACATAGACAAGAATGCAAATTTTTAAATGGTAGAATAAAGGATTTAAAAGCATGATATGTCTCCTTTAAAGCACAATAGATAGCACAGGGTTGAGGTGAAGGTGCACTAGAGAAGCAGCAATTTCACCCAGCAAGCGAGAAACAAGCTCAAAAACCAAGCATTTTAATAAAATACACCACATAATCTGACAGGATTTACTGTTAAACAATCATGAAAAGAGTGCTAAGAATAAACAAGTTAACACAAACAAGCCAGGGTTTTTCATACCTCCTCATAGATCGATCTGAGGAAGTCAATCTCATCTGTCAGACTCTCCATCTTGGCCTCTAACTCAGCCCTATTCATGTAGGCCTCATCCACATCCTGGAAGAAACAGGGTTTATAGGAGGTGATGTTGGCTTCTGATGTGGAAAATAGTGCAAATGATGATTGATTTAAGCCTGCTTTACAGAGAACAAGCATTACCTTCTTGATAACGACAAAGTCATTCTCACAATCTGTGCGTTTGTTGATTTCTTCTTCATATCTGAGACAGGACAACAAGTTATGAAATATCTTTGAACAATAAACAAAAACCTCCCCTCATTATTTCTTATAGTAACTCACTTTCCCTTGAAGTCCTCCACCAGGCCCTGCATGTTGTGCAGTTCCCCCTCCAGCTTATTCTTTTCACTACCCAGGCTGTCCAGCTGTTTGCGTAGGTTGCCTATGTAGGCCTCGAACATTGCATCAATGTTGGAGTGAATGATAGTCTGTTCCTGGAGCAAATTCCATTTGGTTTCTAGCATTTTGTTCTCTTGTTCCAGAAAACGAACCTAGTGTGAAGAGAAAGGGGAAAAAAAATCAGTCAGCCTTAAGATATTCAAATCACCTTTCTACAAGAATGGCTAATGAATACAGACATTTTTTTTTCTTATTGTTTGATTCATTTTTCTTTCTCATGAAATGGAAATTTTGAGAAGCGTTGTTTAAATTAAGATGTTACCTAAACAAGGCTTTTACCAGATCTAGATCAATTAACGCTATGTTAATGTCGTTTTTATTAGTATAACCTCTCACTGGTGATGTCCTAGTTTCAGTCATATCATTTGATTTGGATCCCATGATCAGGACAGCATTGAAGTCTCTGAACCTGAACTGCTGAAGATTTTCTCAATGAGTCACACCACTTTGGGGCAAAAGCATCTAAGTCTAAAAACAAAAAGAGTAATACTTCCGGCTTAAATTCTTGGCTTGGACTTTAAGGCAATCACAATAATTTAAAAAATCTATTAATCTCAGTATCTATTTTCCATCCTTTGTAAAGACATTTATAGTAAGAGAGACTGTAATGACTAATGCAGCTCCTTTTTATGTGTGTTATTTTACCTGCTCACGTGTCATCAGGTGGTTGAATGAAAAGTAATGATTGTTAGCTTGGATGAAAACCTGGTCAGTGATTTGTACTACCTTTTAAAGCACTAGGTTTATGAAACAGGAAAACTTGTGCCTTTATATTTTTCATCAGATTCACACAAAAATTATTAATGTGAACTAATTATTGGAAATCATCTTAAAAAAAAACAGCCTTGTGGTTTAGTGAACTGCTTTGCATGAGATGTCATCTGAAGAAAGCTACAAAACCTTTTGCTTCCATTCGTAGTACTCAATTTATCACAGGGAAAAATTAGACTGATTAATATGACCTTTTTCACATTTCTGTGTATCTCTAAAAAATAAAAAATAAAGCTATGCCTTTTTCAGTGCAATGTTGTCACTGTATTTGAGTACCCTTTTTAAAATTGGTCAATACTGCTTGGTGTGAGGGATTGCCTTCGAGTCAGTGAGTTGATGCAATCATCTGGTTTTCCGTAGATAGAAACTTTGAATCAATTTGACTTTATGATCTGGTGGAATTGTCTCTGTAAATTGCCTTAAGGTGACATGTGTTTTAAATTGGCACTATATAGATAAACTGAAGTGAATTGAAATTAATTTAATAAAAGACACAAGGGAAATTGCTCAAACCCTTAATTTTTACAGAAATAGACACACAATCAGTTTTCCGTTCATCAAAAGTGAATTATACAAATCAGTGATTGGATGAAATCAGGTGGGTTTCTTTAGACAGAAAACATTCAGCTCACATTTTAACAACTAAACAACTAAAATAGACAGCTTCTAAAAAAATAAACTACAAATCAAAACTATAGAAAAGTGGGTATTTAAAAAAAGCAGAGATAAAGTTAGAAGTCAAATTAACCTTTCTACAGGTTCTCAAAAGGGTTGTAAAAAGGAGTGGCAAAGTTTTGTTTTCTGCATAAATATGACACATTTAATGGCACAATATAGATTTGATAAGAGAAGATCAAAAAAAAGGTGGAGACAGGGTGACTGAAAGTGTGATAATCTAGCTGTAGAGCTAGTTTTTCTATTCGGTGTAGTGAAGGAGTAATAGTGAAAGGACATTGCATTTTTAATGAGTTACAATAATGATGAGTTAACTTGAGTAAATGCAGACAATAAAGTTATTTAGAAAGATAACACAGACTATGGATAAAGTTTATTTGTATTTATCTATGTTTGGTCATAGTCTCAGAAAAGGGAATATTGATACCTTGCCAGTGAGCAGCTTTTCACCAGTAACCTGAACTCAGAGTGTAGATTCTCTCTCTTAAACAAAGGAACAACTTGCCTCCCTTTTCAAGTGTCAAAGCTAATCACCAAGGTCACCTGTGAATTAAAAATCACCTGTAACCTAGTGGCCCTAGGGGTGGAAATTTGTTGCTGTCTCTGCCAAAATGAGCATGTTTTGAATTTTGAAAATGGAGAGCAACAATTGAAAAGATTTGTAACTTGTTTAACAATACTGCTTTGTAATGCTGAAGTAACATGTGAATCTTTGCTTATTTCTGGACTGGACTATTCTTAAATTGCTCCTTTATTCTCACAATAGAGATTTGTAGTATTTCCCGAGGTACAGAAAGACTTTTAATGATCAACAGACTTCTAGTTAAAAAAGACAAACATTAATTTGAAATGAAAGGGTTCATTTTTCTCTTCAAAACAGAGCCACCCATCGAGCATAACATAGCATAACATAAAAAAGTACTAATGGATCAATGCTTTCATGTTCTTTTTGTTTGCCTGTTTCTGTCTTCTGAACCCCCATTAGGCCTCTGCAGAAGGCCACTCACTCTGAGCCTGGTTCTGCTGAAGCTTTCTTCCTGTAAAAATCAAGTTTTTCCACTCTGCTGTTGTTGCATGACTGCTTGGTGGCAAAAACTTAATGCATTTAGTTACTAAAAGAGATGGTAATGCAATTTCCTAATATGTACTGTACAGATGTGTGCACCGGTTGGAGTGTTTGCGAGTGTAAGTGGGTGTGTGAATGTAGCAGGAGGAAGTGCTGGCCAAATTCAAGGAAAAACTCATATAATCAGAATGAAATGAAATGAAACAAACATGTGTTTGCAATCCACAGTTGCATAACATTGACAGAGCTATAAAACATATTTTACACACTTCAACTGAACCGTGAACTACACTTTAATAATTCCTCTAGTCTCTTACCTTGTCAATGAAAGAGGCAAAGCGGTTGTTAAGGCCCTTGATCTGATCTTTCTCATTGGTGCGAACGGCTTGAATTGTTGGGTCAATCTGGTAATTCATGGGGACCAGCAGGCTCTTGTTTACAGTGACGGCAGTGATAGGGGCTTGACTCATCTCACCTCTTCCCGAGTACATAGATATGCCATGTGCTCTAGTACTACCCATTCCCACACTGCTAAAGCTGGACATGCGGGGAGCGAAGACTCCAGATGAGTAAGAGCTGCTGCTAAAGTTCCTTAAGGGAGCAGAGCTGCTGACGGAAGTGATTCTGGTCCTGGTAGACATTCTGAAGGCTTTTGCTGAAAAAAAATAAAATTAGAATATCAGAGTGAATTGATAAAGATAGGCAGAGAAGCTGGTCCGTTGAGGGCAGAGACCAAAGTTAGAAAGGCAGAGATGTTCTGCAGAGTGGTTTTAAACCCTTCCTCTGCTGTGGGAGGGAACTTAGTCATACCTTTGGACCTCTGGACTTTCCAATCAGACATGCAATTAGCTCCTCTTTGTACAGATTTCCCAAACTGAAACAAAAATTTTGTTGTAGAATTATGAACTGTGATATGTCATTCCCTTTATTTGTATCCTCTGAACATACTTTATGTTAGGAGGATCAGGTTAAGATGCTGGAAAAAATGTAGAGTTTCAGATGTATTGTATAGTACTCAAAATAACTTTTTAATTTAATCTCTACATTTTAACTCCAATATCTCTGCTTTCTACTTTGTACTTTCTTTCCTTATTTCTATACAAATTGTTAACGACATATAACACCCACAACAAAACAAAGGAAAATCAAAAATGCAAGATAATCTGTCCAGGTAGAGCACAGTTAGTTTGCATAAAGTTACTGAAAGGAACATGGATGATGACAAGCGGCTGGGAAGCATTGCAGAAAATGGATTCGACTCTGGGATGGAAGACAATCTCATTCCATTCGTTTAATTAGATTTTAAATAGAAATGTTGATTATATTACAAGTTCTAATCGAAATGCCATCTTCTTGTTTTAAGAAGTATTCAACATCTTATGTCCGACTTCTGTTGTGTTAAAGCTACTGTATTCTATGATGCCTGAAACTTTATGTAGAACAGAATTAGATGTCATTTTCATGTTCTCTTTACCACCTCAGTGAACAAAAGAAGATTATTAACAGATTTTATGTGCATATAACTTCTTAACAGTTTTAACAGTATTTTTAAGACGAAAAATATTTTAATTTTGTACATGAGTACAATGTAGAATCAGTACTGTTTTTTTTTTTTATTTCACTTAAGAATTATGTTTCAATTATACTTTTACTTTTTTCCGTATCTGTGCTTTTATTCAAGAAAATTATATATTTTGACTACATCCTTATTTTACTTATTTTCTTATTTTTACATGCTATATTTGTCATTCAAATTATTTTTTATTTAATCTAAACATGTGCAAACCCAGTGTGTCATTTTACCCCTAAATGTCAGCTTACTTAGATTTAGTCAAACTTTATTGTCATTTTTAATACACGTTACTGCCATTAGATTTTATAAATGGATTGACTTATCTTGTACTTTTATTTAACATAGTTTAGTTTAAACAATTTGTCTTTAAAATGTGTTAAATCAACAATAAAAACTGCATACTAAATTTATCTTGATGGTCTTTTTCTGATTTTAAAATTTTAATTTAGCAGAGAGGAAAAGAAACGATCACTTAAGTAAAGCCCAATATTTCAAGTTGAGATAATCAGGAAAGAGCAATTGCTAATTGATCTCGATTTGGCATCATTCTAACTTTAGATAGCGACATCAATAATTTTTTTTCAGACTATATTTTAATCTGAGACAGAATTACAGGAATGTTTCTGATTGGTGGGAGAAGGACATGTGACAGTTAAGCTTCACTGACATATGTTTGCTTTTGGTTAATTCTCTACAAGAAGAGTAAGCATAACTAGAATCAGCTTTAATGACCAGACGTTGTTAGTGTGCACAACAAAGTTTGGTTTTCCATCACTCACATTATAAGGAACAGTCCAAAACAACAACCAAACTTTGTAAAAATCTTGCTAAGAAGTGTTTTTTTCATCCTCATCAGAGTGACAAAGATGTCATTTTCTATACCCTAGAACAGTGGTGTCACACTCCAGACCTCGAGATCTACTACCCTGAAACTTTGAGGTACATCTCTCCTCCAACAAACCTGAATCAAATCTGTGGCTCTGTACAGAGCCTTTGTCAAACCTGACAGCATGCTAAGGAGATAATCATTTGATTCAATTGTGTTGGATCAGGGATGTACCTAAAAGATGGGTATTTGATCTTGAGGCCTGAAGATGCAGACCATTGTCCTAGAATTAACCCTTTGGTAAGCCATGTTCGATGTTCTCAATAAATTTGCCTTATATAGGCTAAAGAGATCCAGTGGCTTCCTCTTTGACTGTCAGCCCCTCAGCACTACTATATGATCAACAAGCTCTTTAGCTACCTTAGCTACATGTGGTGTATTTATACTGTAGCACATAAAGATCCTGCTAAAGTTAATAAAGGTCTTGGACTACACAGAAGTTGAGTTCTGTTTCTTTAGAAATCAGCAATTATCTCTCTTGAGTTAGTGGTTTGCCATGCCAAGACATTTGGAAAGAAGCACACAGAAAAAGTGCGATGTACAAACCCATGCATACATTTCTTAACCTACACTCAAACATCCCAATTGTTGTGGAACTGACGCCAGACTCATGTGCATTGTTGCATGCCTTTTGCCCAAAAGGTTCCCACCATGTTTCCAAGTAAACCTAGTAACAACGCTGTAAGACATTTGTTACCAGACATTACGGACGTTTCAGAAACCACCTCAGTTTCAATGCTGTTAGACATTCACAGGAATACTTTGTCAACAAAAAAAAACAACTAAGCAATTCACTGAATTACCTCAGCAACTCACTAAAGAAACCTGCTGAGAAAAAAAATGATTACTAAGCATATGTTAAGAAAACCGGTTTGGAGGGTTAGTGAGAGATAAAAATGTTGTATTGGGCTAATTCTAAAAGTGGACAAAATTCTTGAGGACCAATTCACTACTTTATTGTTGTTAAATAAATATAAAAGAATGAGAACATTCAAGCTTACAGAAGCCCATTGCACATGTTCAATTGTTTCATTAATGAATAGAAGAGTAGAATAGATAATCACTTTATTGTCCCACGTTTTGGAAATTGTGGTGTTTCAGTAGTAAAAAAGATTATTGCAAAAGTGGTCTTACAAATGTGGACCTTAAAAAGGTCTATAACATAACAGAATAGGTGATAGGTAATAGTTAATAAAATAAACAAAGGAAATTATGTACTGTTCAGTGTTTTTACATTAGAAATACTGTAGCTGGGGAATAAATAATCAACATACAGCTGTGGAAATTTTTACAGTAAGAGTTAAGTGAAAAAATGGCAGCAGCACCAGAGATGTGCAGAAATGACAGCCGCATGTTATATAATTGACCAAGACAGGAACTGTGCAAACATCAGCATGAATGTAACAACTTATTGTGGTTGTTGGGAACAGTGATGGTTATGGAGTCTTACAGCTGCTGGGAGGAAGGATCTGTGATGACCCTCAGTGGAGCATTTGTAGGGTGCAGCTGTCTCTCTCTGATGGAGCTTTTAAGTTCAGCAACAGTTTTATGCAAGGGATGGGAGACATTATCTAACAGATGTGTAATTTTAGCTAGGGTCCATAGGGAATCCAACCACAGAGTTGGCCCACCTGATGAGCCTACCCAGTTCTCTCAGCTATATAGATAAGGCACTGCTCCAACAGACAGCTCCATAGAAGATGTCTGATGCAACAACAGAGTGAAAGAAGGTCTTCAAGAGTGCCCCCTGCATTACAAAAAACCTCAGCCTTCTCGGCAGAGGAGTCTGCTCTCAGAGTCTGCTCTGACCCTTCTTGTAGAGAGCCTCAGTGTTGTGATCCTGTCCAGTTTGTTGTTCAGGTCAATAGGCCTACCCATTTACTGATAAGAGTCCAGTATCTCAATGTCCGTTCCCTGGATGTTCACTGGTGTTAGTGGGGTGGATCTGCTTCTGTGAAAGTCCACTACTTGCTCCTAGCAGCAAGAATACAATTTAAATGCACTCCTGAAAATAAATACAAGCTAGAGACATAGAACATTTATAAAACCCTAGAATTTAAAGGAAATTAGGAATACTCTCTTGTTTATAGTTAGTATTTACAAAATGTTGAGATTTGACTTATCCAGCAAGTCTTTCTCCAACTGATCATTTGGGATGGACAAAAGATTGGCAAGTTTTTTCCCCTGAATGCTGAATTGTAAATATAAAAAAGCATGATATAGGTTTTATTGCCGGTGATCAGGAAACAGTTGAGGCAGAGGTTACTGATAGTGTAACCTTGACACTTTGAGAAGAACTACTTTCAGTATTGGTGAGGAGTAACAGATAAAGCAGGAAAGGAACAGGGACATTGTACTTTGCCATTTAATGAGTTTTAATGACTCATTAATGGTGAGTTGAACATGAGCAACTGCAGACAGTAAAGTGATTTAGAGAGATAACACAAACTGAGTTTCTTTGTCTTTGTAATCACAGTCTCAAGAGGGGAGTTGGTATTCTGCTAGTGAGTGGCCACTGGCCTTAACTCGTAACTCAGTGAACTCATGGAACTCAGGTTAGAGGTAGTAGGTAAAAGCCTTCTAGTTTGAATTTGCACCAAAGCTTAGTACCAAATTCAGACCATGTCTTGAACTTTAGTCTTACACACTGACAGAGCTTGAAAAAAAATATATATTGTTATTAAAGCAGCTGCTATGAAAGGCTGTGATACTGTGGTAAAAGATACAATTAACTATGAGGAGGTTTTTAGACAATTAGAAAATATAGCATTCTATAAAAAAGCTTTAAATCTGATCCTACGACGAAATATGTATCTTAAGGAATTAAATGTTACTTGAAGAGGGGTTCTTGAGTTCTATGGCATCAGCATGTGTATCTCTGTTGCCCTGCGATGGACAGGTGACCTGTCAAAGGTGGAACCCACCTTTCGCCAA